GAGAGCTTAAAAACCATTGACAAGAAAACCTTCTATAAGACAGCAGATATTTGCCAGGTATGGGCTGTCCTTCTTGCCGGCCCCAACAGCTTAATTCCTTGTTCTCCTCTGCAGGAAGGTCCTTGTACACTTGGGCAGCCGGACACTCATGGCCAATTTCTTTATCCTCACAATATTAGCAGTTTAAAATTCCCCACTCCGCTTGGTGTTTAGAAATTCCATTTCTGAAGTATGAAACGGGATTGTCCTTGTAACAGCTTAACTGCTGGTGTGTTTAGATAGGAACTGAGTTGGGTGTGAAACATTGTGTTTCTTGTACCCCATGCCCATGAATCCCTTTGGCTCACAACCTGCAGTGGGCAGTCACTGTTCATTTTCCAGAAAAGCTTTCACATCCTTTTGTCCTTGCATTACAATAAGCACCCTTTGTGTTTATGCGGGGATTTCAGATGCTTGTTTGCACCGTGGATGGTGATCTCTACCCCCCTTTGGAAGAGCAAACTGTGAGCACTGACCCTAAGGCAAATAAGAAGAAGGACAAGGACAGAGAGAAAAAATTCATCTGGAACCATGGCAGTAAGTAGAGGTTGTGCCAAACCCCTCCATTCCACCCCCGCAGTGTTCCCACAGCTGTGCCGGGCACTCACCACTGCTGTGTCCCGGCTGTGCTGCTGCTCCGCTTTCAGCGCTCGCTCTGTTCCTGAAGGGATCATCTCCCTTTTGGGGACCTCTCCCATTAGGCCATCTGCCTGACACATGCAATCTGTTTCCTCTCTCACAGTCACTCTTCCCCTGAAAAATGTACGGAAGAGACGATTCCGGAAGACAGCTAAGAAGAAGGTGAGTTGCTTCTCACATGGATGCAGATACAATAACCGAAGGTTAGGAAGGCAGAGACATTAGAGCTGTAACTGTCCAGAAAACCTGTAGTTTTTTAACATTGCTTCACATAAATGTTTCCTTGCCCGAGATGAGGGTGAATGGAGGGTAGTAGATTTAAACACCTTTTTTGGTGCTTCCTCCATGTTCTCCAAGATGCTTCTGAGGGGAAAATCCTCTGTGCAGAGAACTGCTGGCCTCCATTCCTGTGGCTGCCTTGCCATAGCGCATCTCTTCCTGCTCATAGAGAAGAAAGGAAGACTCGCATGGAAATGAGGCTTCACTCATTTCTGGTTTCCCAGCTGAAATCTTCTCTCTGTGCGTGGCCCCTTCTCTTCCCCAACAAGCACCACTACAAATAGAATAACTGTCATTTCAGCTGGGGGAGTGACAACAGATGGAGCTCAGAGACTGTCTCTGTGCATATGCACAAGCCAGGCAAGGTGTTGGGGAGATGCAGCACTATGAGGCTGGGAGGACTTGTTCTTCCCTGCTTCGCAGTTTCTGAGAACAGGATGGAGTGCTATTTTGCATGACATTTGGGAAACAAATTACTTGAGACATTCTTATAGCTCACAGGAGAGATTTAATGTCACTGCATTAAGATTCCTTGCTAATTTAAAAGTGAAAAATGAAACCTCCTTTTGAGCGAGATGGGAAGGAGTTGAGTTGACCATCCATCAGGAAACAGCACCTCAAGGACTTTCTGCATATGCACGGAAAGTCTTATTTCATAAGCAGTATAAGTAGAAAAGTGAGAGCATACAACCCACCAAGGAGCTCTGCACAAAAAAGATGGATTGCTTTCTGGAGGTGCATAAATTACTTTTAGGGTGAGCACAAGCAGAAAGCATAAGAGAAAAGAGGCTTGAAACAGGGCTCTGTCCAGAAGTGGAGGGTTGGAGTTGACCTGCACCAGCAGCAG